GTGCAGCGTCGTAATGAGTCCCCCGCTCCGCTCCCCCCTATAACGAAGCCGAGTGACATGAGCGTTACAGCCGAACAGCGCTCGGTGGGAGGGGGGGCGCGGCCTGTACCTCTAGGCTTGAACACCTAAGAGTTTTCCGTCCCTAACGGCTCCTTATGTTTCGTTGCAGAGTCGTTTGGGCAGAACTACCCCGAGGTAAATGCCTTTTCCGGCCTGTGTCGGGCCTTGCGAATGGATCGGGTTGGTCTTCGCGTCCCCTCGACAGCGTTCAGCAATAAAAACCGCGACCCCCCCCGGTGCAAAACAGCCACCGCAACAGGGCTGCGCTTCCCCCGAGGAGGGCTTGTTCCCCTGGCCCATCCGCCCCCCAAAATGAGGGCGCGACAAGAGCGCGGGCAGGTGCTGTCTGTAAGCAGCCCGGTGTAGCCGAGGAGAGACGGACGAGCGTTTCCTCGGGGCCGAAGGATGGTTTGTTTATTCGGCGCGTCGAGAAAAACCGGAATTAATCCGGCGGCAGGTTGATTCGACGATTTTTGGACGGGGACAACCGTCGAGAATCCAGATCGTTCTTTCCAATTTCCTTCGTTTAAAAAAAAAAAAAAAAAAAGAACGTTAATTTAAATATTATTTCGCCGTTTCTTGTTTTTGTTTCGGCTTGGGAAAGGAGAAATTGAAACACGCTTTCCTAATTAAAGTTGTTAAAATGGAATGGGTTTTAAAAACTCCTTTTTAAAAGCCACTTTCCTCCTGATTATTGGGGATAAAACCGGCGGGGATGTTCCTTGTCACCCCGATCACCCGTCCTTAGAGCGGCTGACCCTTAGCCCTCCTCATTTAGAAGGGGATAGATTCAAAAGTTTATTTTCGAACCGTCTCTTTTTTGTCCTGGTTTATTTCCAGGAAGCCGATGGGACACTGGACTGCATTAGCATGGCTCTCACGTGCACCTTTAATCGGTGGGGCACGCTGCTTGCGGTCGGCTGCAACGACGGACGCATCGTCATTTGGGACTTCTTGACAAGAGGCATAGCAAAAATCATAAGTGCTCATATCCACCCTGTCTGCTCTTTATGGTAAGGAATTTCACACAAGCGTTTGAATGGGGTGTAAGAAACTGTAGTGCCGGATTCTCTGTTATAAGTCATAAATTAACCTTAACATACTTTTTACTCCGTCCAGGAAGAGCACGCACCAACCGCTGACACGTCCTGAGCCTGACGAAGGGTTTTTGAACCCGAAAGCTTGCTTAATAACTTTTCTCCAACTATTTGGGTTGGTCTAATAAAAGATATCAGATTCACCCAAGGAAACTTGTCTGCCTATATCCTTAGACCAACACGGCTACAACCCAAACCCCTGCAACCTTAACATACTGCACTAGCGCTGATAAGTTATGGTATAACCGAGCATTTCATAGGATCTAATCCTATAAGTGAGTTTCAAAGACATTATATATATATATATGCTCAGGCTGTTGAAGGTGTACGCAGCTGTCCAGCGGACTAACAGATTTGCTGCTGTAGCTGATGATTCTCACAGATCACGTCCGCTCTCAGAGATCATCTCAGCTAGGTTTTGGTGACATAGGTTTTGTGTATGTGTTTAAACATAAACTCAGTGACTAAGTCTCTCTCTTTCCTCGCTAGCTGGAGCCGAGATGGCCACAAGTTGGTGAGTGCTTCAACTGATAACATTGTATCACAGTGGGATGTTCTGTCCGGAGACTGTGACCAGAGGTTTCGGTTCCCTTCGCCCATCCTGAAAGTGCAGTACCATCCTCGAGACCAGTAAGTTCCGTGGAAAATGCTTTCGTCCACAGCTTTAATGGGCTGATCAAATACTCTCTTCAGTGTTGTTTTATAATCTAAGAAAACATGCTTATTAGGTTCTGTAAAACGAAAGGATGGTGTTCAGCTGCAGCATGAACCCTGCATAACAGAATTGCAATAAAACCAAGCTTTTGGGGACAGAAATAAAAGGTAGGAGGAATAAGCAGATTTGTTTTTTAACTCTTCAGAATTGTAATTCCTGATTTTCAGGATGTTTCCTACTGGGAAAGTGCTAAATCAAGAAAAGGCTTAACTCCTACCTCTTGCATACCAGCCTCTGGCTTCTTTACTATTCATTCCATCCAGGAAGAGCACACACCGAGTGCAGGTGCTTCCTCAGCCTGACCAAGGGTATTTAAACCCGAAAGCTTGCTAAGAAGAACTTTTCCAGCTATTGAGTTGGTTTAATAAAAGAGATCAGATTTGCCTAAAGAACCTTTGTCTGCCTAAGTCCGACCTCTTCCCTTTTTCCTCTGCAGGAACAGAGTTTTGGTATGTCCTATGAAATCTGCACCCGTGATGCTAACGCTTTCAGACTCCAAACACGTTGTTCTCCCCGTGGATGATGATTCCGATTTGAATGTGGTAGCATCTTTTGATAGGCGAGGGGAATATATTTACACCGGCAATGCAAAGGGAAAGGTGAGACCTTGTTGTGCTGGATGAGTTAGCCTTAACGCATTTCCCTTTTAGGGAGGCTGACCCTTCTGTGAGTGAAGCCCTTTGTTTTAATGTGTGAATGAGGCCCAGGAGAACCTCTTGAAGCGTTACTGCACTGACCTAGCCTGGTAAAGTGTTTTAACTGACTGGGATCTATGGATGGAAAAGTGATTTTGAAGAGCTAAGTATTCAAATAGCTGTTGTTTTTCACAAGGTTTATGGGAGTGTGTTTTTCCCCTAGCATACAAACAGACGATTTGAAAAGAAGGGCTGCAGGCATGCAACTTTAGCAGAAGAACGCAGAGTAATGTACATACACAGATTTAATCCTTAATCCTTGTCCCTTTTTATCCTAATGGGTAAACTGAGTCATAAGTTATGAGTTTTAAGAAGGATTTTAAGAATCAGCGACAGAAACAAAACCCCCAGAAACTTACCCTGAGGGCATGGGCAGATGAACACGTAACCCAGTGGAGCTGGAATGGCCAGATGTGTGGCTGTCCCAAGGTAGGTTGCAT